TTTGCGTCCCAGACCTGGTGGCTTAAAACTCATGCCGGGCACGTGTGCGTGCGTGCCTAAGATCCCGAGAGGAGAATGGAGGAGAAGGGATTGTGGCATGGCCATCCCCCCTGAAGGGTGATTTCTCGCTTTCTATCTCTCTGTCTCTCTGTCTGTCTGGCAAGCGCACATGCCCTATAGCAAAAACCTCTCAAAAAACATAATAAAAGATATGCTTATAGTGCCATATTGCTATGATGCTAAATCTAAGCTTGACATTCATGGTTCCCCATAACTTGGACTCATATTGCCTACTTAATCTTTTATCCCACTATACACATGATGCTTGTTTCTCTCTTTGAGCCTTGATCTTACTACACTTTCCTCATTCAGATGCTTTCTTACCTTCCCTCCTCTGATATTTCAAGGCCCTGATCAACTTTCACTGATTGTGACTACTTTGGCCCACACTGGTATCTTTTACTTTTGATGCATTCTAATTAGTTTTTTTCCAGGTTAGCACCGAGTGGCATTTCTTAAATTTTATGTACACTTACACATATTCACATCTCTATTTCTATCAGCTTATAGAACATAGTGCTTGTTAATTAATTGGTCAAACTCTTAAAGTGGGAATGTGGGAGGTAAAGGTAAGGCGAGGAAAAGGGAGATTGAATACCAAAGGAAGACAAAACTTCAGCCAGAACAATGAAGGAGAAATGGTCTAAATCAATGTTTTCCAAATGTACTCCTTGGGTCATCAACACCTACTCATTTAGGATGAGTTATCAAATGCAGATTACTAAACTCCATTGCAGACCTTCTGGAACAGACTCTGCAGGTAGGTAACTCAAAGGTAACACAAATTATTTTTAGGTATACCATATCTGAGAACCACTAGTCTAAGTGAAGAAGGCAGAAGCTAGAGGCTGAAGGGGAACAACTGTTCCTGTGTTTACGTGATATATGTCTTTTACGTTATGGCTAACAATAGAATAAAATAACTTCACACTATCATGATTTGCTTTCATGTGAATTTCCCTCTTCTACACATTTCTTTGAGCACAAGTGTTCTTTCTTCCATAGCACGAGTATTTCTAATATTGCAGCACAAATGCGGGCTGGCTAATATAGAGTCTTCCAAAGAACAGAAATTTTGTAGCACTCCAAGGAAAGGTGACTGAGATTCCCAGGCTGGTTTTACTTTCTTCTGGAAGTAAAATATAACCAGAAACAAATTATAGGCTCTTAGAGTTTACGCTTAGTGGCACTGAGAGAGAGAGAGAAAAAAACAAAAAGAAAACAATTCTGAGATCTATATAGTTGCTTAAGCTTTTAATTGGAACCAAGTGATAACTAAAACATGTAGCTGATTTAGATAAAAACTAGGACCTTCTCACTGGCTCACACTGAGCAGGATTTCTGCAGTTGAGTACTACAGAAGCGAGATAACAGAATTAGATACGATCGAGGGAAAGAAAAATGCACAAAAGTCCTTGAATTAAAATGAATTGAAACCTTCTGGGAGAAAAGCTATTTGGTAAGCTCCATTAAGTCTATTGTAGATAGCTTTATTTGACAAAGCAGCATCCTGGCATGTGGAACAGGAAAGAAAATAGCTATAAGATGATCTGTCAGGGAGTTTCCAGTCTCTAAACGAATAAGATTCTGTGCAGTAGCCAATACAGCTTTTAACTCAAAAGAGATACAGAAGCAAAATGCAATTATATAACCCTAGTAAGTGCATTCAATCTGAATCTCCCATACACTCCTCTCCCTCCCCCCAAATTCTTCAAATTCAGCGATTTATCAAGTGGATGCTCAAACTTACGGTTGCATTTATTTCATGGTAACACTGGATAAACACTGCATATAATACTATAGATACTGAGGTGGAGACCATCCTACGAGTCAAAGATTAATCAGCTATAAAACATTTTAGCTAAGTACTTAAATGATTTGAATAGCTCAATTATTAAGCTCTTGTTTATTTTGGCTGTTCAGCTTATTGTATTTATTTTCAGTAATTAGTTCACTTTCTAGAAATGTTAACTAACCACTGATTACAAAGACTTTATGTAATATGGGTAGTAGTTTGTATGTTTAAGGATCTAACATATGGCAAAAATAGAGGAAATTCAGATCTAACAGATAATGAATGCCTTTTAAAAAGTGTGATTTAGTGGTTTTCTTTCTTTAGGAGTTTATGTTCATGGAATGAAGATTCTAAGAGCACTCAAGTGCCTGAATAGCTGCTAACTTCAATGTACAAGTATGGGAACCAGGGAATTCAGATTTGAATTACAATAAATCTGCCTGTGTCTCATTTTTCTCTCTCTCATTCTCTCTCTCTCGCTCTCTCTCTCTCTCTCACACACACACACACACACACACATGCACACTTGCTCACAAAGCTGGGAGAGTATACCACTATATCTCCAATGCCTAGCACAGTGCTTGGCATGCAATAATTACTAAATGAATGAATGAACTCATTTAACCACCACAAATCCCTGTTAAAGATGGTTTTTATGGGAACCAGCAGTTAGTGTAATGGCTATGTCACTGGACTCCCAAGTAGTCGACCGCGGTTTGCATCCTGGACCTGGTGGCTTAAAACTCACGCCGGGCGCGTGTGTGTGCGTGCCCAAGATCCCGAGAGGAGAATGGAGGAGAAGGGATTGTGGCGTGACCATCCCCCCTGGGGGGTGATTTCTCGCTTTCTGTCTCTCTGTCTCTCTCTGCCTGTCTGGTGAGCACACGCACCCTATAGCAAAAACCTCTCCAAAAGAAAAAAAAAAAGATGGTTTTTATAATGTACTTCTTACAAGTGTGGAAGCTGAGGCTCAGTGAAGAAGAAGACCCTCCTGGGTCAGGAAGGACAGAGCTGGGACTAGAGCTTAGGCATTGTAAATTTAGGTCTGGTGATTTTTCCACTGTACATTTCCACAATCTAACTCTGAAGACTGTCTAGAATGGTTTGTCTGAAAGACTAATCTTCTGGCTGATATTTTATTTTCCCCCATGGTAATCTCACATCTAAGGTAGTCTATTATAAAACTGATGGGTAGGGTATTGTCTTATTGTTCAAGAAGTTACCCACACCATGGCCTCTGTCTCACATAGAGGGTCCTGACTATATCGAGATAGGAGTAAAAGTCTTTACCTAGACAACTATTTGAGGACTCCTGTTTGGTTCCTAATATACCTGCAAGTAACCACAATGGGAGGCAACAGACAAGTAGACCGACTTATGTAATAGATATTTCCCCTTAATTGGTAGTTTATCTCTCTCTTTTTTTAAGAATTATTTATTTAATTTTATTTATTATGATTAAGTTTGCTATAGGGCATGTGTGCTCACCAGAGAGAGACAAAGAGTGTGAGAGAAAGTGAGAAAGCAAGCTGCCAGGTGTGGGACTCAAAGTGCAATCAGCCATGTGGGAGTCCAGCACCTTAACCACCATACCAGTTGCTGGCCCCAGTAAATTCTCTTTTAACTTGTTACTTTGCTTTAATTTCGAGAAGGCGTGTGCACTTGCCAGAGAGACAGAGACATACAGAGGCAGAGAGAGGGAGAAAGAATCCCCCAAAAGGACATAGTCATGCTGGGATCCCTCCTTCCTTTCTCCATCCTGTCAGGATTTTGGACAGGCACACACATGTGACCAGAGTGTTTCTCAAGCTGTGGGGACTGGGATTCAAACCATAGTTAGACATGTAGGAATGTAGGATCAAACTTCCTTAAGGAGTAGGTTATAGGGCTGGCTTGACCTTTTTTTTTTTTTTTTTTTTTTTACACTCACATGCACCTGGTGTGAGTTTAAGCCACGGGGTCTGGTACTCGAACCGTGGTCAACTACATGGGAGTCCAAGCTACATAGCCATAATGCCAACTGCTGGTCCTGACTTTTTTTTTTTTGACAGAAATATTTAATTTTAGAAAATGCCATAAGGACTGGCAGGTGGCATGGTGGTTAAGGTGCTGGCCTCCCACATGGCTGACTATGGTTCGAGTCCTGGACCTGGTGCCTTGCTTTCTCACATTCCCTCTCTCTCTGTCTCTCTCAGGTGTCCTATAGCAAGTTAAAAATAATAAAAAGATAATAATTCTTTTTAAAAATGCCATAGGGCGTGTGCATTTGTCCAAGACACACACATGAAGAGAGAGGGAGAAAGTGAGAAAGCATCCCTTGGGGTGGGAGATGGCCATGCAATTCTTTTTTTCCCACATCCTCCTCTTGGGATTTTTGGTCATGAACAAACACATGCCTGTTGTGTTTTTCAAGTCACTGGGTCCAGCACTCAAACTGTGTAATTAGCCATGTGGGATCCAGCTGCCTCAACCACTATGCCACCAGCTGGCCTGAAAGATTTAATTTTTATACAGGTATGTTTGTCAAAAATATTTCATTATTCCTATGTTTGGAGATGTTCACTCCCCAATTATATAGCCAACTTCTATATTTCCTATAATTTCTTTGGCTGTATGTACTTTGTTAACATTTATCGTAAATCTATTGGGTTGCTGGAAAAGCTGTGACACAGTTTTGCATAGAAAAACATAGAAAAAACATGTAAAAACTTTTCTGATAACTCAATATCTGTTATTACCTATAGTGTGGGTTATAAGTGACATAGGGATCTAGCTTTATTGAAAGGTTAGTTAGTTACCTATTTATGCATATGCTCTCTTATGATTTCTACTGCAGAATACATTATTAGTAAATCCAAACCAAATATAGAACAATGCTGTCTAAATGCCCAGTACTTCTTGAAAAAGAAAGTCCACTTTTAATTAGGCACTTTAATAAAAAATAGGGAGTGATGAAGAACACAGAAAATCTTGCAGCCACAGAGTTGACATTCAGCCAGTAGGTATTTAGATGGCCTCACCAATTATTTCTAGCAATGTGCAGTTTGATAGTTAATGGCAATACCTTACTGGGTATTAAAGATTTTAAAATACTGTCCCTGCAAGTAGATGTTTGTTTAATAAAACAAAGCAGAAATATCTTTACCTGATTCCTCAGTTTCTTTTGTTTCTGTTGTTTCTTCTATTTCATCATCAGACATTTCCATTTCTTCTTCTCGTCTAATTCCCATTAACTCATCATTATGAATGTTGCGAATTTCCTAAGGTTAAAAGGTATGATTTTTATTTAGGTGGTAAAGTCTTAAAAATGTTGAGAAAATGAACACAGTTAAGGGTAAGATAAAGCAGTTTTTAAAAAATATTAAAATAAACTTCTGAGTACTCTTACGGCAAAGGCTAAGGGGCACTGGACAAAGCAGACTTGAGTACACTCTGTCTTGCATTAGATTTTCGTTTTCAGACCCAGAGTTCTGGCAGTCTATGATTCTTGTATCCCTCACATATTCTGAAGTAATTTTATCTCCTCTTACTTCTCACATGGAATTTCTGGATTTTCACTTAAAGGTCCTGCTATTTTCACCTTTCCATGCCAGACCCTTTAATTTTGTTACTTGCCATACTTTTTCTTGGCCTCTTATAGTTTTACTCAACAAAATTCTTAATCAAATTTTTGTTGTTTTAGAAGCTATAGTAAAAATGAGCTAAAAGTAGTAAACTCCTATCAAACCAGCCCTCCACAGATAATAACTATAATCTTTGGTCAAAATACAAAAACAAACCAAACTCATAATTACCTGATGGCATTAGTGAATGAACAAAAACAGGTATATTATGTAGAGGAGCTGACACTTAGAAGAAGGGAATGACATATGATGAGTCTCTCAGTTTTATTTTTAATAATTATTTATTTAAATTTATTTATTATTATTATTTAATTCACCAGAGACAGACAGAGGGGAGCAGCAGCAAGGTGCCAGGTCTGGGACTTCAACCATGCTCAGCCATGTGGGAATACAACGCCTTAATCACCACGCCACCTGCTGGCCCTGAGTCTCTCAGTTATTTAAAGAGTCTTTTTGTCTAAGGGCAAACCAAAGTTAGCACCTCACAATGTGGGTACATTTCTAACAGAAAACTCACAGTCTTCAAGGCCTAAAGAACTCAAGAAAAGAGTTAAGTGCAACCACAGACACAGGAAAGTGAAAACAAGAAAAGAGTTCTGTGCAACCACAGCCACAGGAAAGTGAAATGGAAACCTAGAAAAGACAGAGAGACAACACAGAGACACAGAGAAAGAAAGATTCAAATTGTATATATAAGAATTTAAATTTAATTTTTTAAAATTAAATTTAAATTTCTGCATAACTCCTGAGCCACTGAAGCACAGGGAAGATTCCAAACAGAACTGCTTAGTTCAGCCAAGAGAACTGAACTGCAATTTAAGCTGCCATTGAAGAGAGAGAATTTCCAGCTTGAATTCCATTAGGTAAACTGACTATTAAAACAAAAGAAAATGATGTCAACATTCCTTGGAGAAACATAACAAAATCTAGAATCTTCACAATATAATATTCTTAATATCTGGATAAAGTTCTAAATTGCTTTAAATACAAAGAATTAGGATGTGAGAACCCATTTCTAAGACAAAGGACAATTAACAGAGATCAACTACATCACTTCTTAGTCTTTTGGCTAAGATCATCTGTAGTAATGAAGACTAATCTTGACATAACTCATATGTAGTAATTAGCATACGAGGAATTAAGGCAGCTATTATAACTATGCTCATAATGTAAATAATATATGCTCATGATGAATGAAAAAACAACAAACCCTAGGAGAGTAATAGAAACTTTTAAAGTGATCCAAGGGTTCTTTTGTCTAAAGAGTTTTAAAAAAATCAAAGGTTCTTTTTAAAGATTTCTATTTCTACATTCATATATTCTATCTTTTCATTTATTATGAACATATTTACTTTACAACATTAAACTAGTTACAGTAGCTACTTTAATGTTTTCCCTGCTAACAATCACAGTTGGGCAATTCTACAACTAAAAAATATGATACCCAAAATAAAAATAATTGGATGAGGTTCAAAGTAGAATAAAGATGACAGAATAAAGAACTTCAAGAGAAAGCAATACAAATGTACCCAATATGAATGAGAGAGAAAACTATACACACACACACACACACATACACACACACTCCCAGAACCTCAGAGATTTTTGGGATTATATCCAAAGGTTTAATATACATGTAAATGGAATCCCAGAAAGAGAAGAGAGAATGAATGATTTTAAAAGTTTTGAAGAAATAATGGTTAATGACTTAACAAATTTGATGACATTAATCTACATGTTTAAAGAGTTCAATGAACTCCAAGCATAATATGAGTGGAAAAAGCATGTCTAAGAACATCATAGTTGAGCTGCAGAAAAGTAAAGATAAACACAAACTCAAAAGCAGCCAGAAAAAAACAGTAGATTATATAGATGGGAACAACAATGTGAATACATTGATTTCTTTCAGAAAAAATAAAGGCCAGAAGCTAGTGAAACAATATCTTTAAAGTTCAAGAAGAAATGAAGATATCCATTTGCTCCAAATTCTATATTCAGAGAAAAATTATTTCAAGAACAAAAATTAAATATATTTTCAGACAAAAGTAAATGTAAGAATTTATCACTAACAAACTTGCACTATAGGACATGCAGAAGAATGTTCTTCAGGCTAAAAGGAAGTGCTAGCAGATATAAACACAGACTTCAGAAAGACATGAAGTTCATTGGAAGTGATCAAGATCACATTGGAACAGTCATTTATCAAAAATAAGCATAAGGGGGAAAAGCAAAATATAAGAAACAAGAAATAAAAAATTATTTGTTGATGACAACATGTATGGTAATATCCTTGATTGAGCCAATATACAATGTATTCTGGATGAAAAAAATCTCATTTTGTATACTGTATTGATGTACAGTGAATGAATGTAAATAAACAAATTTTAAAAAGATAAGCACGAGAACTGTTATTTTGGAGCAGCTAACAATCATTTAGAGGCTACTTGATGCCCATCAAATGCTTCTCAGCACTTAGCTAAGAATTCTTTGCTTAGGTTTGTCCCTACTGGGCTGTCATACAGAAAATATCCAAAGCTATATGGTGAAAATTGCCTCCAGTTAGGGGGACTATAAATACTTCAAATATATTTCTTAATAATTAATGCTATAGTTAGTCATTGTCCCAACTAATAGCCTCCTTTTTATTAATGTTATCAGAAAAAGTCATTTCTATTTTAAGTTATGTTTTTACCAAAAATAAATAGAAGATGTCTTTTTAAAAAGGGAACTATTCAGTACCATTACTGATGGTTAAGAAGTACTAGAAAAACTGCATGCTAACATACGATCTCTCATGTGCTGCAAGGACATTATTTTAAATGGAAGAAAATTATGGCTTGCTTAAGAAAAATGAAATTTAAAGGGTTTTTCAAGAAAGAGATTTTGCTGTATCTTTTTTTTTAAATTTTTTTTTGGAGAGGTTTTTGCTATAGGGCATGTGCGGTTGCCAGAAAGATAGAGAGAGACAGACAGACAGAAAGCAAGAAATCACCCCCCAGGGGGGATGGCCACGCTGCAATCCCTTCTCCTCCATTCTCCTCTTGGGATCTTGGGCACGCACGCACACGTGGCTGGTGTGGGAGTTTAAGCCACCAGGTCTGGGACTAGAACCACAGTCAACTATATGGGAGTCCAGCAACATAGCCATTACGCCAACTAATGACCACAAGATTTGCTGTATCTTACTCAAATTTATTGCATAGAGAACAATAAAGGAATTTTTCATTTCTGAGAATTTGTTCTATCTTAGGAGTCTAGGTTTCAGTTATCATCAAAGAGCTGTTACTAGAAAGGTGATTATAATGAGGTCTGACATTGGCAAATTTGAATATTGTACAACATACTGTATTAGGAGAAGTCATCGCTTTCTAGTTGCCTAACAGAAACGTAGACTGTCAAGAGGCTATAAGCAGAGAGCAACTCTCAATTTACAAGCATGTCACCTAACCCTGGGAAAGTTATTGTGTTTCTCAGAAGAGTAAATTGTTCCTTCTAGGGAAATGTCCCAGGGCAGGAAGATTTGAGAGCTAAGACATGTCCTGTGGCTGCTCAGCATCCACAAAGCATCTTTTTGCTTCCAGCTGAGCAAAAAAAGGCATAATCTCTACTTAGAAATATAAAAAGTTCAATAACTATGTGATGCAGCTTATCTAGAGGCCTTTCAAATTTTCAAAAATCCTTAGAAATGTAACAGACCTACGGGCAAATTTTACCTAAATGCTTCAAAATACTTTAGGAACAAGAATTACCAGTTGCTCTAGCTGATAATGAAATAAGGGTAAGAAAAATAAAGGGGAAGGTTGTTCGAAGTTGTTCAGTGAATCACGCAAAGTGGCAGAGCTCAGATTGTCAGAACTAGACAACTTTTCTTAGCTACAGAGACAGCAAGGCTCATATCATTATTCTGTTAAATACCCACTATGAAGTCACTCAAATAGGACAGAAGAGAAAGAACATCAGAGCTTCTGGGGTACCATATTAAAGTAAATTTATGGACAGCGTTTACTAAATGACAGTATTCCCAAGAAAGTGAGTGAGATTTTAATTATTTGAAACCCTTACTTAAAGCACTAACAGATATCTGAGATATCTGTTTTCTGCATTCTCTGGTTGGATTGGAAAAGTTCTACTTTGGGAAAGAAAATCCTAACAAATACCTTCAGAGTGAAGGGCTAAAATGTGGCAATTACCTGAGGAAGGCACTCTTCCAGCTTGGACAGGCAGGGGGAGGATGCTGAGCCACTAAAGTGCAGACAGCAAAGAAAACAGCTGCTTCCCAGACTTTCCCCATTTCCCACCCTGATACCTGGATCTAGTGCTGAAACTAGGAAGGGCAATGGCATGTAAAACATTTTCCAGCAATTTGTATTTATAAATCTCTCCCTAGAATTGACTGAATCTGGCTACTGACAGACTACATCAAACAAGGTAAGAGAGTCTCCCTAAAGTTTCTGCAACACTCTACAGCCCACAATAGATCTGTAGTAGTTTTCATTTCAGCAGTGAACTGTTACTGACTTCTGAAAATGCACTCTGATGACTTGGAGTCTATTCTACTTGTAACTTTTCCTGGAGGTTAGAACTTCACACACCACTCTACAATGGACAAAGCACTTTCATATACAATAAAACAAATCTGAGACAGAGGAAAATGCATGAAAAGAATCGCTTTTGTATGAACTTTTTTTATTTATCATAAACTAAGCAAATCATAAATCGTCACATGTTAATTATCTAACTACACTTTCACAAAATGTATGTGGACTGAAATTCATTTTATTCATATTTTAGGCTAGGAACACAATTACCAGAAAGCCAAAGTTCCTTATTAAATGTGTAACAAAATTCTACTCACTCTGATGTTCAACATGAACAGGAGACTTGGTGGGGAAGGGGTCAGTTGTGGGAATGGAAAAGAGCAGAGGATGGAGAAATAGCTTCTGTGTTTAATGTAGACATTTGATTCTGAGCTATCATTCACAATGAGGCAAAGTACAAACACAGGTTCTTAATCAGTCTATTGGATGATACGTGATGGAATTACAAATTAGGTGGATCCAAGTATGTTAGTTTTTTTTTTTTTTTGAGAGAGAGGTTTTTACTATAGGGCATGTGTGCTCACTGGAAAGACAGAGAGAGACAGAGAGACAGAAAGTGAGAAATCACCTTCCAGAGGGGATGATCATATGGCAATCCCTTCTCCTCCATTCTCCTCTTGGGACCTTGGGCCCGGTACATGTGCCTGGCGTGAGTTTAAGCCACTGGATCTGGGACTTGAACCATAGTTAACTATGTGTGAGTCCAGTAATGTAACCATTATGCCACCTGCTGGTCCCTGTTAGTATGTTTTTTTGTTTGTTTGTTTGTTTTTTGAGAGGTTTTTGCTATAGTGCATGTGCGCTCGCCAGAAGGACAGAGAGAGACAGAGAGATAGAAAGCGAGAAATCACCCCCCAGGGGTGATGGCCACGCTGCAGGCCCTTCTCCTCCATTCTCCTCTCAGGATCTTGGGCATGCCTGACCACACGCCTGGCGTGAGTTTAAGGCACTGGGTCTGGGACTCGAACCGTGGTCAACTACATGGGAGTTCAGCGACATAGCCATTACGCTAAGTGCTGGTCCCTAGTATGTTTTTTTGATGGTTGAAAGTAAATAGCTAGTGTTAGTGCAAATGGATTATAAAACAAGGGTATGTAGATGACTTGAATATGTATCTGCAAACAGTTCTTCAGAGTTTGGAATGATAGGCCTATAAATCTAGAAAGAAAGTTATTTTAGCAATCATGGTATTTTATTTTTATAAGAATATTAGTAATCATTAACTCCCTTTTCCTCTGGCCCAATATTGTAAAGCCTTGTATCATGGAGGATGCAAGGGGTTATCTCCTAGTATCTACTGCTTTGGCTCAATTTTTTAATGCATCATCGAAAGTTTAGCTTCTAATCTAGGTCAACTTAAGAGAAACATGCAGATTTTTTATTTTTTTGAAAAAAATTTATTTTATACATCCAATCACTATACATCACTGCAACTTCTTAAATGATTTTGACTAACATGAACACACTTTACACCAGTCCAGTTGGAAAATAACCATACATGCTATCAAAACATGCAGATTTCAAATGACTCTGTAGAAAAAGAGTTCCCACAACAGACGAGAACTTTCAGTAAAGTCACTGTAGACACTAACTTTTAGTGAGGGGAGGAAATCCAGACTTCTCTCACTACCTTTTTCAATTGTATTAGCCAGAGCCTCACACGTACACACAAATCAGGAAAGTAAAGCAACAAAAAAGATTCCTCAAACTAATCTGCCTGACACATGTTACCAAAGCTAGTGCTTTAGTTTCCTGAAAGTGGAATCTCTTCATCTTACTCAATAACTTCTCTCTCATCAAAGTAAAACAGTGTTGGCTACTGGTAGAATGATGGTGATGAAACAAAGAACAGGTAACATAAGGAGGACTCCAAATTACTTGCTCCCAGAGGCAACTGGTAAAAAGAGCAAATGTCAGAAACTTACACCTGGATGAAACCCTTGACTTATGAGTTGTAGCTTTGATGTTATTTCAAGGAAAAGCCAGTAGCTCATGAAGTCTTTGAAATGCTGATTTTCAGTGTGGTGCTAAGAGGCAGCCACAATCTAAGAGGATTTTTTTTTCACTTCCTACAGGATACCTCCTTTCAGTCCTCAGTTACCTGTTATCAAGTGAAAGTTTGCCGAGGTAAAAAACAAAGATGAACCAACCATGATTTAAAGAAGCACCAATATAAAATGGAAGAGATCTTTTAAATTTAGGGAATGCAGTGTAAGAGGAAGGTCATGAACTATGGCCTACTCTCAGCAGTTTTACTTATCAAGAAGGAGGTATATGAGGTGCATCTTAATTTAGTCCAATCTGCCAGGCAGGAAGCATTGGTTTTGAGTTTCTATAAAGTCTATGAGGCACAGCATGAATTATATAACTCTTGGCAAGCCACACTGAGCTGTCGGTACACTTTATCTTCATCATTGCAAAGAAAGTCTGCTACAATGTTGGTAAAAGGGCGCACAGCTCTCAGTTCTCTACAGGCACAGAGAAATGTCCAGTTCCCTAGCACAGCTACATTTACTGTGAACCTAGTTAAATTCAAGTGTATATCCACCAGATAAGTGGACTTGATATAACTAAACAGATCTGATCACTCAGAGACTACCAATTATAACAGGGTTTGGCTTATTTCCCCCTACATGTTCTTAATGGTTTTCAAATTGTTTCCAAACAAACTATCACACACAGTCTCATGAAGGACAGACAGAATAGATATTATCTTCATTTTATAGGTTAGCAAGCAAAGGTTTATAAAGGTTAAATGACTCACTCAAGATCCTAAGAGGGTTTGTACCAGAGCGCAGAGTGAGAAGAATAGTTTCTAGAGAGAATGAGAAAGCAAGCTGCCAGGTCCAGGACTGGAACCGTGGTTGGCCATATGAGAGTCCAGCACCCTTAACCACCATGCCAACTGTTAGGGCCCACTTAATATTTCTTGTGTTTCAGTTTCCTTAAATGTAAAGCATGGGTCCTACATTTGCTCATTATCCCTTATGTAGGGGTTAATAATATATTGAGATAATAGTATTTACTTTTTTTTCAAACTGTTTACACATTTCTTAACTCACTGAATCCTGCAAAACTGGTTTCATTACTATGAATTTATAGATCTAATATACAGGTAAAGAAATGGACTGAGAAAGTCTGAATTATTTGTTCAAAATCATACACTTAGAAAATGTCAGAGTCAAGATTTGAATTAATATATGACTCCACTTCCAACACTGTTTCCACAACACCATGTCTATTGTGAGGCTCATATAAGTACGATAAACAATGCAAAAGTGCTTTATAACTGTAAATTCCTTATAAATGCCACTTAAATGCTAAGGAGTATAAAAAACACTCATCAATAGATACATTGAGACTTCTACCAGAGTGGCAAAGAGGACTCATAAACAAAGTTGAAAAAAAGTTGCCTTAGATATATTGGGTCTTTGGAAAAGTCATGACATATTTTTGCATAGAAAAACATAGAAAAATTATGTCATGACTTTTCTAATGACCCAATAAGATCTGAAGTATCAGGGCTAGGTAAGGAAGTTGCCCATAGGAATAGAAGAACATGAGGCATATGTAACACCATTTCCAAAGGCAGATTGTGAAAACAAACTTCCCATCTTGGCTTCGAATCTTGGATTCAGTCTAGCAACCTAATCACATCACACATATTCTAGTGTTATCCTAAAAATGTCACTTGAATACAAACACAAATCAGAGTACTGTCTTGTCTTTACAGCTGCCACCTATAAAGATGGCTAAATGGGTTTGATAAGATCTGCTCAGAAATTTCACTGCTACAATAGTAACACGGATAGTTTCCAGCTCCAACTGTCAAGACGTTCTAATAAATGTAAGACAGCCTTAATATTACTAATAGTAGAAACACAGGTCAGTAATTAGTTATATCCTAGACTAGCTAGTATACAGAAATAAACTTACAATCATCCCAGCTACATTTGCCATACTAAAATTTCCATCTAGCTGAATATATTCAAGACAACACATGCACATTTATTACCCTTTTGACAGCAGGTGATCTGGACACAGCGACATGCTATAGAGCACGACTAACTGTTTCAACAGGGCCTTGTTGTGACTATGGGAGCTTGGCACTATTTAATTCTGACTAAACTCCAAATCAATAACTTGTTAAAAGAACAAAAACTGTCCCCCTGAGGGGGTACCAGAGTAAAATGTTACCAACCTCAGCTTGTTTGCACCAAACACTGATGTTTTTACGCTGGGCTTTTGTGAAGTGGTCCCACGCCTTCTGTTTGGAGGCAGAATGGTACACAGCCACTATCTGCTCAACTGTAGCATGGCATCAGTTGGATCAGGCCAGAGTACCATCCAGGAATGGCAAAAGAGAGGAGGAAAGAGATAAAGAAAGAAAAGCATCAGGTTTGTTGTCTATCTTCTTGTTAGTGACACTACACTAGGCTGTGGTTGTGCTCAGAAAAGGCTATGTGTAGTAGGGTACTCTAAACTTTTTTAAAAATTAACTAATTAATCATTCTTATTCTTATTTTTTACATTCAATCTCTGTGCATCTTTACAGTATACAAATTAAATTTTCCTAGCATGAATACACTGCATATTAGTTCAGTCAAAGATATTACCAAACACATTATCACCAGCTGATAATTTTCCATTTTTGTGTCTGCTACATGTTCTTCTTTACCTTCCCCTTGATTCCCTCCCTCTCACCCCCCCCCAATTGTCCACTCTCCTCCTACACAGTCTCTAGTGTCCACAGTTGTTCTCCATGTTTTATGCTTTCCAGTCCTTCCGTTTCTGCCATAGAGGGTTCAACATCCCTTATCATGAAGGAGATACAAATCAAAACTACAATGAGTTATCACTTAACCCCAGTCAGAATGGTTAAGATTAAAAAAAATGATAACTGCTGGTGAGGCTGTGGTGAAAAGGGAACTCTCCTATACTGTTGGTGGGAATGTAAATTAGTATAGCCACTGGGGTACTCTGATTTAAAGGGGAGTGGAAAGAAGAAACATCAATATACTGAAAAAAGGGGAATGCCAGAAGGTTTGGGTGAAATGGTGAATAGAGGTATTATACAGGCAGGAGGTATGCATTCAGGCAGGAGGCCAGAGTCAGAGCGTGTTTGAGTTTAGTACTACTGACCCTGCACAGCACGGAAGCAAGTGGCAAACTGGACCAGCAACTTTCAACCATTGGCTCCTTTCCTAAACTAGCTCTCTGAAATAAGCTTGGATGCTGCACCTCAACAGAAGTCACCCTTTTATTCTTCTGGCTGTGTTTGACTGGAGGCATCAAATCAAAACCTAAAATGGACTGAATCTGTTTTAAGTCTACATAGATAGGCTTGTTGATTGGAGAAATATGAGTTTTATGGACGAATACCGTGTAAGTGTAGTCCTAGAGAGTATTTTTTAGGATGTCTTACAATGTCAAATGAGGAAATGTTTACAAATACTCTGGGGATTTATCCTCACCAGTTCAAGACTGGGGAAGCATAGACATGATTTCTCTGGAAAAAGAAAAGCAGTACAAGAGCCTCTGCTTGGCTAGGTGCTTACATTAAGAAAATTTAGAGATTTTTTTTTCCTTTATAGCCCTGTATGTATGTACCTTACTTTCTAATAATTTAAGGATTTATATTCCCATGAGGCTTGCTGCTCTCTTTTTCTACTTATTCTGAATTCCTGAAGACATGTGCTTTTTCCTTCTGGATTTTATGCCTATACATACTTTTTTTGTTTGTTTGTTTGTTTTTTATTTTTATTTTTTTTATTTTTTATTTTCTACATTAATTCACTATACACCATCACCACACACCAGTGAATTTTCCATCCAAAATACACTGTGCATTGGTTCAATCAAGCACATCAACATACATGTTCTCAGCAAATAATTTTCCAATTCTTACATCCTGCATACCTTGCCCTTTGTCTTGCCATCCCTGATTCCCCATCCCCCACCGTCTGCTATGTCCCATCTTCTTCCTCCGTTGTCCCTGGCATCCATGGTTGCCCTCCATGCCTTCCCCTCCCCATTCAATTGTTCTGCCAATGAACTTAATTAGTCTAAATATATCCAATAGCTAGCACAGCTGACACATACCTATACATGTACCCAAATCTGCCTATACATACTTTCAAAATACAAGTGGAAAGTGAAACAACCCCTCCTTAATCCCAACTATGTACATGCCAAGTGTGGAAAGTCAAGTATGGGAAGCACAGATCATAATTGCTTAAAAGTAAAATAAAAAATTGTACCCTTATTCTTTTTTTAAATTATCTTATTTTTTAAAAGAATTTTTTTATTTAACTTTATTTATTTCAATTTGACCAGAGAGGGAGAGAGGGAGAGAGGGAGAGAGGGGGAGAGAGGAAGAGAGAGAGAGGGAGAGAGAGAGAGAGTGAGAGAGAGAGAGAGAGAGAGAGAGAGAAAGAGAGCAAGCTACTAGGTCCCAGACTTGAATCATGGTTAACCATGTGGGAGTCCAGTGCCCTTAGTCACCACACTACCTGCTGGCCCCTTTACCCTTATTCTTAAGGTGAATACAGTTTCTTACTGAAAAAGCTATGAGTATATAATTTTATAATATGATGAAACAAATGTTACTTGAGAATTTGTCTAATCTGTCTGATTTAAGAGATCTTGGATAGGTTTGGAGTGGTACTTCTTTTTGAAAATATCCATTTCAGTGGCCTTTGACTTCATTCTGGTGCCTATGACATCCAGTGAAGGTAGTGGAAAAAGGGAAACTAAATACAAAATGTAGAAGAAGCAAATATTTCACAGACACAAGGATGTTAAGTTATCTGCTGAAAAAATATATGGTAATGCCTTTGACTTGATGGACATGTAATGCATGCATACTTTGAAAAACCATGTTGTATACTGTAAAGATGTACAATGATTAAATATAAATAAAAAATAAAAGTAGAAAACTTGGATTTTATTCAATCATCTTGGGAAATACACACTAAAATAGAGTTCCTAAAAAGTATACTACATGATTGAGACCAGCAGTTGGCATAATGGCTATGTCACTGGACTCTCATGTAGTCAACCACAGTTCAAGTCCCAGACCTGGTAGCTTAAACTCACCCCGGGCGTGTGTGCGTGCATGCCCAAGATCCTGAGAGGAGAATAGAGGAGAAGGGATTGCGGCGTGGCCATCCCCCCTGGGGGTGATTTCTCGCTTTCTGTCTCTCTGTCTCTCTCTGTCTGTCTGGCGAGTGCACGCACCCTATAGCAAAAACTTCTCAAAAAAGAAAAAAAAAGTATACTACATGATGATAATGACGCAAATTCAAAGCAAAGCAGTTCCACAATGCTGAGACAGTAACTTCAGTAATAACATACTAAACCCTTTACTGAGGCCATATTGGGTCAAAGCATCAGTATTTCTGTTTTCTTTTGGGGAAGTTTTTGCTATAGGGCACATGTGCTCGCCAGAAAGACGAGAAAGAGAGAGAGAGAGAGAGAGAGAGAGAGCAAGAAATCACCCCCCAGGGGGGATGGCCATGCCGCAATCCCTTTTCCTCCCTTCTCCTCCTGGGATCTTGGGCACACACGCACACATGCCTGGCGTGAGTTTAAGCCACCGGGTCTGGGCCTCGAACCGTGTTCAGATACATGGGAATCCAGCAACATAGCCATTACGCTAACTGCTGGTCCCAAAGCATCAGTATTTCTAAGGATCAGAAATATTGAGTTTTTGGAAAAGTCATGATGCATTTTTGTATAGAAAAACATAGAAAAATATGTCATGACTTCTCTGACAACCCACTAGATGTACCAGAGGAAATAAAAATAGGTGGTGCCCAAGTGTACCCTGTGAAACTGAAGTTTGGGCATCTGGCAATATAAGTAGAGCGCAAGGATGCAAGAAAGGGAACCTTGACCCTTGTCACAGGATGTCTTTATAGGCCTAGGGTCCTGTATAGAGCAAGTAGGGACTAAGAGCCTTCTCAATCTTCCAACAGAATTCTGACTTTCACTCACACTGGATGAGAATTCCAGAAAGGGCCTGCTTGAACTTCTCCTTTGCTTCTTCCATGTCTTTCTCATGGGCAGCTTTCTCATTCACCAGGCGGCGCACGTGGCTGTTGGCTGACTGGATCATGGAGTAGAAGTTGTTGGCACTGCGACGGTTCACCTCCCCCCGTTCTATCCAGGTGAGCAAGGTCTGTACAGCCTCAGAGAATTTAGAATCATCTAAAGAAAAAGAGTTTATTTTGAAGACCATTAAAGGTGAGCAAATCTTGATCTATTTTCCTAGTATGCTGGCCATGATGGCCTTTTGGCAGTGGTGTTAAATTGCTGAGGATGAGGAGACACATGTGTACATATGTTCACATCCAGGCAGCAGGCAGGAAAGAATGAAAGGCTCAAAAGATAGTCAGATTGGTTGTGGTTTATGAAGAATTTTAGGAAGAGCATTATTTCTTCTTTACTTAAAACTTTTTTGTATTAATATAATAGTTTTCACATATTTCAAATTTCTTAACCTCTCTGTGTGAGTGTGTGTGATTGTGATTGTGTGTGTGCATGTGTGTGTGTGTGCATGAGAGAGAGAGACAGAGACAGAGAGAGAGAGAGGAATTAGCAGTGAAACTTCAGAATCCTAAAATATTGTGTTTTAATTAGAAAAAGCAAACTTGAACTGAATTCTATAATCTTGTGTTTTAATTAGAAAAAGCAAACTTGAACAAGTTTAACATGAATTTGACAATAACTTTGCCCTGGATCCCTGGAGTCCATGGATCCATGGGAGTAGCCTTAGGAAGGACTTAAGTGGGTAACTCCTTAGGTATAAACACTTAAATCTTCAACTTTGTATAACATTACTTCTGTATCCAATCTGTAGCTTCAAGCCTTCCACTCAATACCATTCATGATCTATTTTGATGTAATTCATTTTATTTCTATATTTCTTCACATCCTTTTCTGTTGCCTGCAGATCCCTCCACATAGAGATCTGTAGCTAGGGAAGCGCTACTCTCTGATGTTAAGATAGCAACAGAGCTCTTGCAAAGCTGCTGGCTCAGTTCCCTGATATAGCCACTTAAACATTTTGCTGTGAAAGACACTGGAGAGGGACAGTCCATTAGCATCTCATTGTAACCTCCTTTCAGGGCTTCACATATCTCTCTAGCCAGAGACCATTACATCAAGTGGAAATATCTCTTACTGCAATTTGAACCTCTTGCCTCTTGTCCTTTTATCAATGCACACCTATAACAAGAGATCAGCCTCCTCTTTACGGCAGCTGTTTATTTCATTACTTAGATGCAGTTTTTATGTTGATTCACACTTCTTGCTTCTCCTGAGGATTTCACAACCAGCCAATTCATTTTTTAAAAAACTTAAATTGTTTTGTTTGGTGTCATGTGAAAAGGCAAGTCTTAGACTTGGCTTCTTACCAATGCTTTCAGCCTTTTCAATTTTTCAAAATGTACCAGAGATAACTCTGTGTCTCTATTCTGAACTCTATGTTTTCTGCTTTTCTCTCATAGGAAGTCAAAGTAAATCCAAGAGATTTCATAGGTTTCTTAATGTGTGAATTTCTTAGGCTGTGTGGTGCAAACAAGTTTGGTGAATAAGACATATTTGGAATGTGGAATTTGCAGTATCTTGCTGAGCTGAAGCAAGGAAAATTCATACCATAGAGTGGGGTTGGTGTCATCAATAAGATCAATGGGCCACCAGCATACATTCAATAAAATCGGTCATACTCAGAAAATGAGAAAGACTGGATTTAAGCTACTAAGACAGGAAACCAGGCAGGGAAATTAATGTTAAATTAGCAAAATGGGTCTGAGAGTCAAACAAAGGGAACAGGAATCAAAACTAAAGGGAAACAGTCCAAATTAGCAATGTCTAGAAGTCTCCATAGTCACTGTGTGAAATAAATTGGCCTTCTTAAGTGATTTAAAAAGTTTTCTTTTGGTTGATAGTGGCTAATGCTTTGAGTAATCTAAGAAGAATGTACACATTGAGTGATTACTGGGTTTCCATTTTCTTATCTTTAAAATAGGGACTTGGAGTGCCGAGCAGTGGTACAATAGTAAAATGTGACACTCTACGAGGCTGACCCAAATGGAAAGGTTCCCGGTTTGTGTTGGAGACCTCTGTGAGTATCCTGGGTATGTGTTTACCCATGATCTGGGACTGGCTGTGGCTGAAGGTGGATCATGGCACCAAGACCCTGTTGGGGGTTTTCTCTCTCACTCTCTCTCTCTGTCTCTCTCTCTCTGTCTCCTGCTATTTTCCCCTGTCTCGTGGAATAAATAAATAAATAAATAAACAAACAAACTTCAACATGTGTATTTTACCAGAGTTTTTCAGGGTCACGTCAAATTCTGTCATTCTGATTCACTAATTTGATTTAGAATTCAAACCTAAGTTTCATCCACTATGAAATGGAGTGCTTTCAGGTCTCAAAGTATGGATCACACTTAAATTATCTGATATGGATAAGTGGGAAAATCCAGTTACCCTGTTACTTCCTAGTTACCCAATGTCTTGAGAAAAAAAAATGCCACCCTTGAGATGATAAAGGAACAGAAGCACAGTTGGCAGGGATTAATTTCCTAGTTCTTGAGTTAGTAGGTATATCTCTCTTTCTACAAGGCTCCAACACAAGAAATACTCATAATCCATTATTTGGAAATTGAAAGGGTAACTGCCAACAACACAATTATATTTATTAAACGTCCTCAGAGAAAAGAGTTTTTTTAATCATGAAGCTTGAGTGCTTTCTATACCTTTTAATTTTTCAGCAACAATACTGCATTCATGATCTGAATAGTGAACCACAGGGGGTGGGGATGGTGGACGCAATCTTTCTTCTTCCATCCTTCTACGATGGCGCTCCTCTCTTGCTAGCATACGCTGTTTACACTCCCATTCATACAGGTCATCTCGAGCCTGTGCAAAATCAACATGAAGCCGACCTGTGTCCTTCTTGTCAGTACTAGAGCCTAGGCGAATGCGATAACCTAAATTCATAAGAGAGGGAGGGAGAAGTACAAAAACAGCCCAGTGAGTAAGTAACTTTAATATGTTTTCGAGTTCAGTGTTTTAAATATAGTTGCAGCAGTTCCCAGTGATTTACATATCCCAAATTCCTCCCTATGCCTAGCAAGATGAACCATCAAGAGATTTGGATTACAGTCTCATCTCTGATAATAGTTTACTATTCTATGGGCTGGGTGGGTCAGATTTATTCTCAGATGTTCCATTCCTCCATCTGCATCTCAGCTCTGGCTGACAATGGCTCTCTGAGTATTGCTATGATGAGCCCTAATGTGACACCCTAGGCTGGGAAGAATGAAAACAGTGGCTTCAAACTAAGGTGTCGTTGGATAACTTCCACAGTATTAGATATACTAGCACACAAATTTTGGTAAAATTTAAATGTATTAATCAAATATTTCAATTTCTAAAATTGCTTCCTAGATGCATTTGACAACTCTGAAACTCCCCCCGCCCCCGGAGAAAAAAAAATTTGATATGATGGAAAGTGACAGGTGACCCAGGTGATAGATAATCTGACATCCTTAAAAAAGGTATTATTGCAATGTATTAGTATAGTACTGGTATTCAGAAAACGAGGACTTCAACTCCGTATCTCCACTCATTGTGCCAGATATATAGTACTCAAGTCAAGTCTCTTAACAAAAAGTGGGGAAAAACAAAAAGCTCCAAACATTTGTTGAACACTTTTAAAATTTCAAGGACTTAGCTACATTCTCCCACACGTATTTATTTCACTTCATTCTTAAATTAGCTTGTAGAGTAAATATTTTACCAAAAATGAAACTGAGTATCAGAGAGGTTAGAGAGGTTAAACTGCTTGCCCCATGTCAAACGACTAGCAAGCAGTAGAGCTGGGAATTGAATCCAGGATGTTAGACTCCAAGTCCATTGAGATTTACTCTACCTGGCTAAGGTAGAGTAACAGGGGTTATCTCTGCCTTCCTCCATTAAACAACTAAAAATATGGATAAAATACATAAAAGAATAGTTTTTAAGAAGCTAAACATGAGACAATAAAGACAGTGACCACTGAGTGACAAGAACTAAATACAGTGATCCCTATGATTGCTCTAGCCGTAGCTTATTGCCTAGAGAGAATTTCCAGGCCCCAGCACAGAGAGGGGAGCTCAGGGAGAACATGGCGTTCTCCCCAAGCTGAAGAGACTGAACTGGGCGTCCAGGAAGGTGATGGCAGAAAGAGTTCCTAAGACAGAGTATCAGAAAGAAGAAAGCTGCACAGGTCTGCAGGGTCCTACAGCATTACTTAGCTGAGACTTGATGTCTACATGTATGTTATAGGCAATAATCTCTGGAGTTCATACAGGGCTAGAAAAGGACCAACCAGAGCAGAAAATCTCATGCTTTGGAGTACTGGATAATCAGAAGGGTTTTGCCTCAATAATGGAGAAAATTTAGACCTAGATTAAAGTGCTCTGGTTCTGCTGAACAAAACTTAAAAGCAAGACCTAAAAAACTCAAAATTGTACTTGATTGCATCACAGAACAAAGCTCAAGAATATTTAAAGGAATTAAAGAATACCTGCCACCTGGGCCAGTCCCATAGCCTAGTGGTTAAGAGAGCTGTATCTCACATGGCTGACCACAGTTCAAATCCCAGGCCTGGTGGTTTAAAAAACATGTGGGCATGTGTATATGTGTGCCCCAAATCCTGACAGGATGGAGAAATGAAGAAGACAGGGTTGCGGCATGACCACGCCCAATTGAGGGGTACTTTCTCTCTGCTTCTATCTGTGTCTCCCTGTGGTGAGTATTTATGTCTTCTGGCAAGAATAATAGTAATAAAATCTATCACCAAATAAAGTAAAATTGAAAATATCTGGTAGAAAATAAAAAATAACCTGGCACGTAAAGAAGTAAGAAAATATAATCCATAATAAAGATTTGAAAAATTAGTCAATCAAAACAGACCATGATGTAATACAGATAATATAACTAATAATGATATAAAGGCAACTATTAAAGCTGGACTTCATATATTCAGAAGCTGGACAAAAAACTGAACATATTATATAGAAACATGAAAGATATGAAAAGAACCAATATTAAATCTCTAGAGATTTAAGCTTTAATGTCTAAGCTGAAAAAGAAAAAAAAGGACTAGCTAGGACTGGTGGTAAGTTAGACATTACAGCAGAAAAAAATGAACAAATTTGAAGATATAGCAATTGAACCAATTCAAACTGAAATGAAGAGAGAAATGACTGAAAAGAAAAAATGAGCAGACTACCAGTGAGCTGTGAGACAACTTCAGGAGGCCTAATATGTACCTCACTGGAGTTCTGAAACAGAGGCGAGAGGGGAGGGAACTGAAAAAATATCTAAAGAAATAACAGGGGGATGGAGAGGAGATTTTCAAATTTAATAAAGACTGACAGATCCAAGTTCAATGAACTCCAAACAACAAACTTGCAGAACATTACACCAACGCACATCATAATTTAATTGCTCAACACCAACAATAAGGAGAATATCTTAAAAGTAGCCGTAAACAAAAGACATATTATGTATAGAGAAATAAAGATAATGTCCTATTTCTTGTTGGAAACAATGTAAACAGAAGATAGTGGGACAACATCTGAAAGAAGGAAAACAAAAAACTGTTAAACTAGAATTCTATACCCAGGAAATTATTTTTCAAAAACAAAGGTGAAATAAATTCTTTTTCAAATATACAAATGCTGAAAGAATTTGTCAGGAGCAGACCTGTACTACTTTAAAAAAATGTTAAAGGAAATTTAAGCATAGGGAAAATGATACCAAATGAGAATCTGGATCTATACAAAGGACGGAAGAGCATACATAATGTATGATTTCATTTATATGAAGCTCCAGAAAACTGCATGCTATTCTGATAGAGAACAGATAAGTGGTTGCTGGAGAGGGAAGAAGGAGGGGTAGAAGGAAGGCATTACAAAAAGGGGAAGGAAGCTTTTGAAGGTGGTAGACAGATACATTATTTTGGTTATTGGTGATGGTTTCACACCTATATGCGTATGTCAAAGCTATACAACTCTATTTTTGAAATATAGGAAGGTTATTATATACCAATTATTATATATCAATAAACTTCATATGAAGAATAATGTCCAGTAACACTAAAGTTGCCACACATTCCTTTTAGAAAGAGAGAGAATAAATACATTTCCAAAGCAAACTTTCCTAGAGTTCTTTACAGTTTATGATGCATTTGCACATCCATTCATCTTATTTGATCATTTGAGCCATTAGAAAAATAGAGCTATAGGGGCCAGCAGGTAGCATGGAGGTTAAGGCTCTGGACTCCACAGGGCTGATTGGAATTTGAGTCCCAGAAATGGCGGCTTGCTTTCTCACTTTCCCGCTCCCTTTTTCTGTCTCTCTCTGGTGAGTGCATTTGCCGTAGGCAAATTTAAAAAATAATAATCATAAATAAAATTAAATAATAATTTTTAAAAAGAAAAATAAAGCTACTAATGATTACCTTACCTATTCTCCCAGGATTATGGAGAGGATCAAAAGACAGGATGATATGAAAGCTCTATGTAATCCACACTGAAGATGCGATGGGAGATGGGAGGACAGTGCCAGTTCCCACTGATGCACCAATGCCAGTAGAAAAAAAATGATTACTTTTACATTTTATAGCCCCTTTCTAAAGGATTTTTGTTTGTTTAAACTGCTATTTTTTACAATGTGAGATAACAGCCACCACATGAAAGAGAATTTCAGCAATTGTCAACTTTTAGCAAGCAAGTTCAAATGGAAAGGGGAAAGTTCGGTTATTTTATCATCACTGATGGCAACCCTGAGAATGTTTCTAGGAGGTGGCTATTAACAGAGAACTGATTTCCATGATATTTAGATGGATGCCTCCAGAGCAGTATGTTGTCTTTTACATAAAACTATTCAGGGCTTTTTGAGACCTTTACATTCTTATTCAAATAGTCTACTGTGGAATGCTCTGTCAGTTGCTAAGTGCTGTAAAATCTAACTACTGAAGATTAGACAGCACTTAGCAACTGTAATAAGAGTATTCTACATCTTTCTCCTCTCCTTCCCCGTTACTAGCCCACTTTTTACAATCCTCATTACCTTTTCCCTGGCCTATTGTAGCAGGCTTCTAGCTGACCTCTTCTTTCTCTCCTCTCTAATCCATTTTTACTCAGAACTGTCAGAAGAATCTCTCAGAAACAATCATCTTCCTTCTTCAAAAATGTCTTCAGCACTTCCCCAATACCTGAGGAGTACAGACCCAACTGTTAAGCCTTTCGAAGCGTGCTGATGATGTTTCTCCTCCTCCTCTCGAAAAGCCTTAGTTGATATGTTTAAGTATACACCATATTTTCCATCTCCATGTCCTACAAACCACTACTCATTACTTTCTGAATGTTTGCCACCTTTGTTTCTTTGTGCATTCTGTTTCTGTGCCCCACTGTCCACAAGTAAATGCTTGATTTGTGTCAAAGACTTGGTCCAAATGCTACCTTTCCTGACACTACCAGCTGGAGTAGAAACATTCCCCCCCCCCCCCTTTCTTCTCTTCCCTGCTCACTGAAGGCACCTATAGCTTTCAATCTCTTATCAGCAGTTAGTGTATCTTATCAGTGTCTTGAGTAATGCCTGACACTGAATAAATGTTTCTTTAATAAATGAATGTATAACTGCATAGTTACCCTAAATTCATGAGGAACTAGGTTTTATTCATTTTCCACTCTGTACAACATCTAACACAATAGTTTATGCAAAAAGGACATCTAAAAAGCAACTGTGGTATGAAGATGGTGCCATTGTAAAATACCTAACACTTGCTCCCAATTCTTCCAAATCATTACCCTTATGCAAGGAAGTTGTTAATTGTTCTATGCCCTTTACAATTATCCTGTCTTCTTCCTTCTGGCCTATTTGCCCACAGCCCATAAAGAACAATATCAGGGGCCGGCAACTGGCGTTGTGTATAAGGGCACTGGATTCCCACATGGCTGACCACAGTTCGAGTCTCGGACCTGGTGGCTTGCTTTCTCTCTCTCTCTCTCTCTCTCTGTGTGTGTGTGTCTTTCTGGTCAAATTTTAAAAAAAGAATGAATAAATAAATAAATAATTCTTTTTTCTTTTTTTGGAGAGGTTTTTGCTATAGGGCGCGTGCATTCGCCAGACAGACAGAAAGAGACAGAGAGACAGAAAGCAAGAAATCACCCCCCAGGGGGGATGACCACGTCGCAATCCCTTCTCCTCTATTCTCCTCCCGGGATCTTGAGGACACACGCACACGCACCCGGCGTGAGTTTAAGCCACCGGGTCTGGGATGCGAACGGATACACGGTAGTCCAGTGACATAGCCATTACGCTAACTGCTGGTTCCAATAAATAATTCTTTTTTTTTTTTAAAAAAAAGAATATCAATTCAAAGTAAGTAAAAGATTGGCCATGAAATGTTATCTTGAAATCAACTCAAAAGGCAAGGGGCTTCAGTTTATCATACCAATATAAATCATTCCAATAACAATCCTTTGCCTCATTCCAATAACAATCCTTTGCCTCAATTGCCCCAAATCTGAACTTTCCCTTAAGCAGAATATTTTATGCAAAGTAGTTCTTACTTTCTCTCTATTCCAACTGCTGTGCTATGTAAGTCACTATCCTTTCTGGGTTCGATTAATGTTACAGTTGGTCTATTTATCTCCAATCTACCATCATTGCCTATACCTTTCAGTTCATCTTCTACTCAGAAGTAATATTTCTAAGGTTATTTCACTCTATTTCTTAAAATCCTCCAGAGGCTACAGATTTTTGTATGGTGATTTTGTATCCTGCTACTTTACTATATTCATTTATCTCTTCCAGGAGTTCTTTTTGTGGATATCTTTGGATCTTCTATCTATATAATCATATCATCTGTAAACAGAGATAATTTCACCTCTTCTTTGTCTATTTGAATGCCTTTTATTTAATTCTCTTTTCTGATTACATTGGCTAAGACTTCCAGTACTATATTGAAAAGGAGTGGAAAAAGTGGGTAGCCTTGTCCTATATCAGGTTTTAATGGAAAAGATTTCAGCTTTTCCCCATTCAGTATGATGCTATAGTTATTAGTTCTTCATAGATGGCTTTTATTGTGTTGAGATATATCCCTTCTATGTTGATTTTGCTGAGAGTCTTGATCATGTAGGGACGTTGTATTTTATCAAATGCTTTCTCTGCATCAATTGCTATGATCATATGGTTTCTATCTTTCTTTCTGTTAATATGGTATATTACATTTATGGTTTTGTGTATGTTGAACCACCCCCTTGCATCCCTGGAATAAAGCCTACCTGGTTGTGATATGTAATCTTACTTATGTGTCATTGGATATGATTTGCTAGCATCTTCTTGAGAATTTTTGCATCTATATTCATCAGTGACATTGGCCTGTAGCTTTCCTTTTTTGTCATGTCCTTGTCTGTTTGGGGAATGAAGGTGATGGAGATTTTATAATTTCTTTTTGGATCTTTAGAAATAGTTCTACACACCAACAACAAGAAGATTGAGGCAGAACTGAAGAAAGTCATTGCATTTACCATAGCAAAAATAAATAAATAAATAAATAAATAAATAAATAAACAAATAAGATACTTAGGAATAACTAACCAAAGAAGTCAAAGACCTCTACAAGAAAAACTAGGAAAATCTTTAAAAAAACATTGAAAATGCCCCCAAAAGTGGGAGGACATCCCATGTTCCTGGATCATAAGAAGTAATATGATCAAAATGACAATTCAACCAAAATTAATCTATATATTTAATGGAATCCCAAACAAAGTACTGCAGATATTTTCCCCAGATCTAGAAAAGGCAATAATAGAATTTGTCTGGAATGATAAAAGACCCCGAATTGTCAAGGCAATCATGTTCAAGAAGAGTGGAGTAGGAGGCACCTCACTCCCTGACCCCAAAATATATTACAAAGCTGTGATAATCAAAACAGCAGGATACTGGCATAAAAACAGACATGTGGACTAATGGAACAGAATTGAAAACCCAGAAATAAACCCCAAAGCATACAGCTAACTGATTTTTGACAAAGGGCACCAGCCAATTGACTGGTAAAAAGAAAACCTCTTTAGCAAATGCTGCTGGAAAAACTGGGTATCCACCTGTAAAAAGATGAAACTGAACCCTTGTCTCTCACCATTAATGAAAATCAACTCAAAATAAATTAAAGATGTAACCTAAGACCTCAAACTATGAAACTACTGGTGGAAAATGCAGAGGAAACTCTTAGAGGCACTAGAGTAGGCAAAGACTTCTTAAATAAGACCCCTGAAGCACAGGCAATAATCCCAAAAATATACAAGTGGGATTACATCAGATTAAGAAGCTTCTGCACAGTAAAAAAAAATAATAATGGTTAGGGTAAGTTGACAACCCTTGGAATGGGAGAATATATTTGCAAACTATGTCAGAGACAAAGCATTGATAATATCAGAATATACAGAGAACTCAAATGGCTTACCTAAAAAAAAAAACCTAATCAACCCAATGAAAAGATGGGCAAATGAGCTGAACAGACAACTCTCTAAGAGAGACATATGAATGGCCAAAAAGCATATGAAAAAATGTGCATCATCCTTTATCATAAGGGAAACGCAAATCAAAACCACAGTGAGATACTAACTAACCCCAGTCAGAATGGCTAAGATTGAAAAAAGAAAAAATGAGAAGTGCTGGTGAGGCCATGGTGAAAAGGGAACTCTTCTCCACTGCTGGTGGAAATGTAAATGAGTACAGCCATTGTAGAGAACATAAGGAGATTCCTAAAAGACCTACAAATAGAACTACTATATGATCCAGCAATTTCACTCCTGGGTGGAGAGGAGAATGCTCCAAAGGGCAGGAGTATACTCAGTTGGGAAAGTGCTTGGACACCCACATTTATTGTGGCATTATTCACAATTGCTAAGACATAGAACTAATCCAAATGTCCATGTACATATGAATTGCAAAAATATGGCACATGTACACTATGAAATACTACTCAACCATAGGAAAAAACAACAACATCCTGGCATTTGATAGAAAGTTGATGAATATTCAAGATTTACTTCAGAGTAAAGCAAGTCAGTCTATGAAAGAGAGACATGGTATGTCCCCACTTAATATATATCAAATGTCCACACTTTATGGTGAAAACTGAAATATTGGAGGATAATGAAGCATGGAAAATGGTTGCAGATACTGGATACAGTGTGGGAAGAGGTTGGGAACTGGGTGTGTGTGAGAGGAAGGGAATCAAAGAGAAAAATAGAGAGGCAGGATATCTGGGGGACACAGAAGAGGAGGACTGTCTATTGATGATAGCGTGTATGATATCTTTAACTGGACTGGTATGCAGTGTGTTTATGCTGGGAAAATTCATTTTACAAGCTGTGTTGATGTACAGTGAATAAATGTATAAAATAAACTAGAAAACAAAAACAAACAAAAAATCCTCTACTGGCTTCCAGAATAAAATTCATTATCATATGATATAAGGCTCGACATAATTTGGTATTATTTATCTCTCAGACTTCATTTTCCTCCACTGCCCCTATCTTATTTACTATGCTCCAGTTATGTTAACTTTCTATCCTCTGATTAAATGTGCCAAGTCCATTTTCATCTCAGGGCCTTTGGCTTACTACTCCTTATTATGTAATGCTCTTCCCCAAAATGTTCACATGGCAATCTGCCTTCATATCATCCACGTCTCTGTTCAAATGTCAGAGAAGACAGTCTTTTCTAACAACTCTACATATATTATTACATTATTCTTTTTTTTATCTTCTTCAGGGAACTTATTAGTACCTGATATGAACTTCTTTGTTTAAATATATACCATATTTTATCAATTCAGAGTGTAGTATCTTTTGGCAGGCAGTCTATCTGCATTGATCTTTGCTGTATCCCCAGCAATCAAGCATTCTGCCTAATAGTCAACAAATAATTGATAACCGATTTTCATAACTATTTTTGAGCATCTACTTTTGTGGCAGGATATGTGCTATGTGCATAAATTTAACATAAAGACACAGCCCCTGCCCATAATGAGTTCACATTCTGGTGCAGGATGGAGAAAGATATAGAAAGAGAGAGTTCTAGCATGGTATAATGGGTGTTATGTTAGGGGGAAGCACCAGGTTCTGTGGAAGCACCAAGGAAGGGGTGCCTAAATCAGCCCAGGGCAGAGTAGGGAGATAAGCTGGAGAAAGGTTCCAGATGACATTATGCTTGAGCTGGAGCTTTAGGGTGTGAAAATATGTGTGGTGGTTGGAGGGTGGAAAAAATAATTCTAGTTAGAAGAAAAGGCATGAAACACCGTGGCACATTCTGGGAACTAGAATTCATTAGCTGTAGTTGAGACCTGGTGTGTGAGGGAAGAACCAGGAGATGACACTAAGAAAGCAGATAATCAAGCTGTTAGCTGCTGCATATAAGAAGTTAGGAATTCCCATAGAGCTATTGAAGACCTTTAAAAGAAGAAGCTGGGCAGGAAGATGCATTTTCCATTTCTGAAGGCAAGAGGAGGTCACATTATGCCCACATTTTAGCTGCTATTACAGATGCAAATACTCTCATTCCCAATCTCTGTGTTGTGCCTGACAGGTACAACCCCCACATCTAAACACCTACCGGACAGATAAAGGGCTTTGTCCACCATGTACTCCTCAGCAAAGCGAATGTGACAGAAGTTCTTTTTGCTCTTTCGAATAGCAATAATCTCACCACACTGTTCAAACACTTCCACGATGATCTGCTCTGTCCCATTTTCAGGCAGGCCGCCCACAAATACTGTTTTGCATCCTGGTGGTCTTTCTCGAGTTGCAGGAGGTGGAAGATCTAAGTGTGAGGGTAAAAGCATTTGAAATTAAAATGTTTGCTTGTTATAGACCTCCCAGAAGCCTATCAGTTCCCAGAGATAGATCTACTGTCCCCATCAAAATTCTGCCTGTGAGTGCCAGGACTATGTGGTCTCTAAGGTGCCCATCTCTGTTACACAGAGCAATGTATGCATGAACCTGAAAATCATTTTAGTCAATGGTTCGGTGACCGTGATAACTAGAGGATAGAAATTCAGATCCCTGACTGTTCCATCTAGAGTTCTTTAGTTTTGCTCCTTACTTGTGTTGTGACAATCTGGCTATATCAACTTTTCAGTATTTTTATGAAAAGGGCAGTTAGTGGCTGAAAACTGCACTCAGTTTAAACTCTTTCAGGAGTTCTCAGAACCAGGATCCTTGAGAGAGGATTTGTAGTTACCATATTCTTTCTGTTCATGCTTAGTGAGTGAACTTATTCAGGATTAATTTGACAATGATGGGGTGAATATTTACAAAAATGTTTATAGTTGTCTAAATGATTTGGCTTAACAAAGTCAGAGTATAAACCATCCTTTTATGTTTTTTCTTTTTATTTTTTTTAATACCAGTGAGCCTTTCTTCAAATATCTGCTGGAGAAGTGAGGTCCAGAGGCAATCTTGCAGCATTTAGAGGGAAGTATGAAAGACAGCAGAGACAGTAAGCTTGTCTGGGAAATCATTAACTAAAGTGAGATAAATTTGGAGACAGAGAGTCATTAAAATCTACTTAATGCCCTGATTCTCCCTTTGCTTTAAAAAATATACTTTCTATCCACTCATCTTATACATAAAGCCTGCTGTATCTGGCAACTCCTTGTTGCTATTTATATGTATCTAAGGATTTTCCAAGCAAAATCCTACAGTTCATAGCCTAACAAAACAATGCATGATGGTCATGGGTTTTTCTAGTGTTGGCTTTGTATCTGCAAGGATTTATTTTGTGTAATCCGTTCTTTCCATTCAGCTCTTAACAACAATTCTCCAAGCTCAAGATTTGGAGAGCTCAACAACCAGTGATTACAGCTCACATGCAAGAATAAAGGTCTCATTTGTAGATTAGACCAAGGCCCCACCTGATTTATATTCAAGCTGGCAAGCAGTTGATTTAGGGGCTTCCTTGAGTATCAGCATTTCTGGCTTCCTCACTTTGCTACCAATGTCTGTGTTATCAATTTGGCTAAGAATAATCAGTTTCTTAAGATGCTCTTTCCTTTTCTTTAGTTGACAAAAGAGGCATAAAGATTCAGGAAACTTATTAATTTTCTGTTAATTCTTGGTCAAGAGCTCACTGTATTGTTATTTCTTTTTAAATTTTAAATTCCATATGATAGGTGTAGAGGTTAAGAGAAAATAACCTAATGAGCAGGAATCTGAAATGTCTTCGTCATGGTCACTAGCAAGGTAGTTTTAGCTGAAATGGGGAAGATGAGGTACAGAATCACTTGAGACCTATGCTTTTGAGTTTTTTGGACTGTATGGAATTCTAGCCATTGCACTCCTAGTGATTCTTATGTCTGGTAGCACACTAATACAGACATGGGAGTTAAACAAACAATGGCTGGGCCCCACCACAATGAATCTGATTTAATTTGTCTGGGGTGCACCTGTGAACTAATTTCTTTCTGTTATTTATTTATTTATTTTGGAGTATGATTCTGTTTTTAATAAAAGGAGGAAAACAAAAAAAATACACATACACTTTCACATGTAAAGAAAGTTTCTGGATGGAAAAGGGAAGTTGTTTGGCTGAGGGGGGTGTGGGGGGAAGCCTTTACTCTTCAACAGTCTCTTAAGATTTAATTTTTCTGCCATAAATATGGACTGCTTATTATATGTGTGTGTGTGTGTGTGTGTAAGAAAATGTTGTTTTAAACAAATTTGACCTTGGGACCTGCAGTTGGCATAATGGTTACATGGATGGACTCCCACGTTGTTGACAGCAGTTTGAGTCCAGGACCCAGTAGCTTAAAACTCACATCAGGTCCCCAAAATCCTGAGAGGAGAATGGAGGAGAAGGGCAGTACCACCCACCCTGGGGGGCGATTTCTTGCTTTTTGTATCTCTGGCAAGTGCAGGTGCCCTATAGCAAAAATCTCTCTCTAAAATAATCAAAACAAGTTTGACTTGAAAGATGGTAAACAAGACAAAACAAAACAAACCTTTTGCCCTGTTCCTGAAACGTTCACAAAACTATAAGGAGGAAAATGGGAACAGCAACTTCAGAAACAGGAGGTGTCAGTGATCTCCGGTCCCAGAAAGCAGAGGTGTGGCTGGTGGGGTAGGGGTGTGGATAGGAACATGGTTTGGGACAGACTGGAGGGGCTATTCACAGCCTGTAGAAAGGGCAGTTAGCCCAGGGACCCCCCTTTCTCCCCAAGAGATGAGGCTTCTTGTAATGAGAAGTTGAACCACACCAGAGAAGAGGTGTGTGGTGGCAGCAGAGCCGACTGACTGCAGGCCTAGAGTGAAGCACAGCAGTGAAGTCTTGCTCCCTTCTTGGTTCATCTGAACAGGCTCTTGAGGGGTACATTCAAGAAGGAACTAGAGGGGACCCAGAGCAACACAAGGAAGCCTCACTTTTCTCTGCAGCAAGGGGGTGGCACATCTGTGAAGTCAGGAGGCTGCATGCACTGGCGGGAGGAGGACTTACCACAAAGCAACTGGTCAAGGGGGCCAGGGGACAGCAGGAACACCTGAAAGGGGAGTTGGGAGCTACTGCTAAGGGAAGAATCAGCAAATGCAGAAAAACAAGACTGTGGCCCAGGGAGCTCAGCAGGCTGGGGCCAGGCAAAGCAGTGGCTACGAAGCTCCCTCATCCTGCCTTGGCCTCCCTGTGCTGACCTAGAGCTCTCTATGACTGTCTCGCCACCTTCTGACTTGGAATCCTCTGGGGAGCCCTTAAGGCCCATCTTAATGATTCCACTCTTCCCATACAGGGCTGGCCAGCTGCATCCAACATTGCTTTTCTTCCTTCCTTCCTTAATTCTTTCCTTTCATTTTCTTCTCCTCCTTTTTAAAAAATTCCTTCCCTCTTCCTTTCTTTTCTTCTGTTCTTCTTTCTTCCTTCTTTGATTTTCTTAGTAAGGTATTTTCTTTGCATTGGAGGATATCATGTTAGCCATTCAATTTTCCAAATATCTGCCGAGGTGAATCCCTTTCACAGTGATGATGGCTTCTTGTGTGAACATAGTCATTTCAAGATTCTCCAGATGAGGTTTGTATACCAATCTCTCATTAACTGATACCAAATTTAAGAGTGTGATCTATGATCCAGAGATGGCTAAGGCTGAGGTGGATCATGGCCTAAAGACTCTGCCAGGGTTCTCTATCTGTAACCCTCTCCTTCTGCTGCTCATGGAGAAAATAAACTGAACACGTGCTCTGAGCTCCAGGTCTTCATTGCTATTGGCCACCCTTCCACAGGTCTCCACTTGTTATTGTTTTTAAAGTTTATTTTATTCATGATAAAGAGAGAGGAAGAAAGAGAGAGAGCGCACATCAACAGACTCTCTTCATGCTGTGATTCCCTGTCCCCAGCCCTTTGGCTCCTTAGGATCTTGGGGAGGGACAAAGTGTTTCAGGTCAACTGGGCTGGGGATCCAAACCCATGATGAGCCATGTAACTTTCAGCATTGCAGTTCAGGAGGCTTCCAACTGCACCACCAAGGTTGGGCCTATTGCTTTTTAAGCTCTTCAGGCAGTTCTAATGTGTAGCTAGGACTGAAAACTACCAACTTAGTCTAAATCTCTGCTATTACAGAGGAAAAACTCAGTTGAGTGAAGTTAAATGTTTCATGCAAAATTACCATGCAAGATAGAAAGAGAAGGAACACAAACTTAGAGCAGGTAAACCTAGATCCAAATCTTAACTAGGTTAGTCACTATCTATATGAACTTGAGTAAATTTCATAACCTCTGAAAATCTCTTTTAAAAAAAATCTTTAAAATGGGGGTACAATTCCCTACCTTACAAGGGTTATTATAGGATAATGGATATTAGACTGTCTATATCACATGTGGTATAATGTCTAGTACTTGATAGGTTCCCAATAATGAGTAGCCATGAAAGTGTTGTTATTATTATTTACTATGCTAGAACCTATGTTTCCTTATTTCCAATCTGGGACTTTACCTCCTGTATGGAGTGGTAGCTAAGACCTGGGCTTCTAAACTCTTAGCTCTCTTGCTTTATCCAGATCTTTAGACAAGGTTGGTTTTGAGAAGAAATTACTGTTATGGATCGAGGAATCTACAGCTGTGAAAACACATATAGCTTTGAGTATGGAACACAACCTGGCCACTTAATATATAGGTAAACAATTTTCAAGAACATCCATATAGTTGGAGCTACATTTGCAAATGAAAGAACTTACGATAAAATGGGACCAGCAGATGATGTAAAGGTTATTTTGCTAGACTCCCACGTAGTTGACCATAGTTTGAGACCTGGACCCAGTGGTTTAAACCTCATACTGGGCATGTGTGTGTGTGTGTGTGCCCAAGATCCCTAGAGGAGAATGGAGAAGAAGGGATTGTGGTGTGGCCATCCCCCCCGGGAGGTGATTTCTCGCTTTCTGTCTCTCTGTCTCTCTGGTGAGCACACACACCCTATAGCAAAAATCTTTCTCTCTCTCAAAAAAAAATTTAGAATAAAACCCTATTCTAGGGTAAACAGCCTTCTGAAGTTTCCTATTTAGAGGAATTGAATGATAAAGAATCCTTTTGTGAAGCAAATAATAACTTTTAAATATTATTGGAATTTTTGTAGGTCTACCTTTAGGTCCACTGAGAGACTCTTAACACTGAAAATGCAAAGGCTCCTTCGCCTGACTGCATCCATGATATTCAAGAAATCTGTGATAAAGTCATCATCCTATTTAGATTTTGTGATTCTGCGGTGGCTGTCTGCTAAGTAAAGGGACATAAAAGCCACTAAAAGTAATGTCAAGAACGCTGGGGATTTATTTATTTTCCTTGGGT